TGCGTTCTACTTCTTCCTCTAGCTATCTATTATTTGAGGCTTGGAAGAACAGTTTGTTTAAAATAGTTGAAGATTAGATCCAATGGATCATACCGGAACGATTTAGATTCAAATTTCAACTACTGATTAGGTCTATTTTCAAGCCATTTAAACACAACCAAATTGTCGAAAATGGCTGAAAGAAATTTCTGTACTAACTTGCACACCTACTACCAAATTTCTCATTTCGTAAGTCAGGCTTATAATAAAGCTATTATAATTGACAACGCTATAGGAAAAAAATGAAACAATAAGTTCAATGATTAAATGTCCTTAATAGCTTTATTTTCTTTATTCTCAGAATGGAAAAAGGGATGAAAAGTTATGCGTCATCTAGTTAGTCAAGGAAATAAAGCTATTAAATAAAGCTATAATCTAGTAATTATAAGCCAATAACGGGATTTGAGAGATTGACCTCGTTGAAAAATAAAAGTATGGTCAAAACTACCAGAATATGATAAAATTTGCCGCGATGCCATAGGAACACCAAAGAGCTCGGTAATTTTTATCGAAGCCCTTTGGTAATGATTTTGGCAAACTTAACAATAAAATCGGGTTTTATAATAGATGATAAAATTTGGTAAATATATGTGCATATATATATATATATATGTATATATATAAATATATATATATATATACATATATAGAGATTTTTTTAACCAGAAATGTCATTACCATTCAATACGGTAGTTTTACCACAATTTTTTTCTCCGTGCAATGCCTTCTATGGCGAAGGCCTCAATCGAACCAATTTTGTCATTTCTAAAACCTAAGAAGAAAAGAAAGTTGGTTATAGTTCCCAAAAAATGCAGTATTTAAAAAGTCATGCTTAAACTTTGTAGCACGTAAAATCATGCTCCGTTTACATTTTATTAGCTTGTAATACTTGGAACAGTTCAAAAACTTAATATCACATTTTTTACTATGATGTTAAACAATTGTTTTAGGTTACACATGTTCTACTTACTTACTTAATCATAAATACTCAATATTTTTGGAGTTTATTAAGATTTAGGGAGCGAATGGTACGAATTAAGAAACCAGTCTCCTAAATCGCACTGCTTGCAAATTTGCGAAAACAATTAATTTTCAGTACTAACTGCACAATTATTGATAACAAAAATAATATAAGTAGCTGAATAACTGCTTTTTATAATTAAAATATTTCGAATGTATTTGCCAGTGATTTGAGACATAAAAATTTAAATGTGAAAAGCGGTAAGCTTTAGGTAACTATCCTCTTATTCTTTTCTTCTTAGTTATAATATCATTAGCGGAAAAAAATTCTATTTTAAATGGAAAATCTCAGAACTTCTCAGAAAAAAAAGTTCTTGGGAAATTTTTTCTCATTTTGTCAGTTAGTTTCAATGTTATTAAAGTAGCAAAACGCTGAAATTACGGTCTCCCAGAACCAAAAATAATGCGACCGAGAAAATGTTACAGGTGTTCTAAGAGTTGAAACCAATCAATAATTCTTTCAATTATATTTAATCAATAATTCATAATTTATTTAATATTTTGGTTATTTTTATGAAATTAAAGCAAAATAACAGTAAAAAAGGAAATGACAAAATTTGAAATGCAAAAAATTTCCAATTTTAATGTATTTATTGACCAAATTACGGAAATCATATGCATTTATAAAAAATTACTCCAGTATTTCTCATCAAACTTTTCAATTCAAAATGAAATGAATGAACCATTCTCAGCGTACAAGAGTTGGTTTTCGAAAATAACAATATCGTTATTTTGTTTGTTCTCAATTTATTAATACACTAAAAACAGTTTCGAAACTGGACTAGAAGTCTAGTGAATTCAATTATCTGACATATAACCTAATTTTCAATCAATTATTCATAAGACAATGAAAAAAATTCAACCCTTTACATTGAATAATTTTTAAATAATTCTTTGGTGGAATAATAACTACGACTTATCATCCTGTGAATTTAGTTGCCTGACAAGAAGCCTGCATTTAAGGAATGCTAATACAGTGAAAAAATTCTATCCTTTTGCATTAAATATTTTTCAAATAATTCTTTGGTAGTCTATAACAACTACGAATTATTATTCAGTGAATTCAATTACCTGACATGTAACCTAGTTTTACGGATTGATAATACAATGAAAATTGCAATTCAATAAATTTAGGTTTCTTTTTGTTTGAGAAGATGCATTTTAAAAACATTTTTTGAAGCATGTTTAAAAATATATTGCGTTATAATTATAGTTCAAGAAAATTAAAAAACTGACCGTTATATATATATATATATACANATATATATAAATCAAAGCATTTGTTAATTTTTAAGTGGTTTTTTGGTGAAATCATTTTCTTGATCCATTTTATTCCTGAAGCTCTAAATAATTGCAGAAAATGCGAATTTTATCAAGAAATATATAGCTTAGAAGAGAAAACACTCGTAAATGCGAAAACATATGTTTAAAAAATTCAATTAATTAAACTTAATTAACTTATTTTTGTAATTTTTGTTATTACATAGAAGAAATAAAATTTAACTTTTTATTTTCTCATATTATAGGATAATTTTATAGTGGATATTTATAAACAAAATCCACCTGACACAAATAAGATAAAAAATAGGACAATTTACTGTAACTGCCACAAAAAATCTAATACCATACAATAAAGCGGAAAATTTTGTTAATCAATACTATTGTTGTTAGCTTTTCAGAATAATTTTGCACTGATTTTAACTATTATATAGATTTAAAAATATATTTTGAGTCTCACTTTCTTGGAATCTCACCAGCGATATTTAAAATGATTAGTTGCTCTAAAACTACATATAAATTTTTTTATCTAATTTTTTTCTTTCAAAAATCTTTCTGGAGTATAGAAATAATTTCCAAAATATTTTGTAAAAGGAAGTTTTTGTAACACTGACAGCATTCCAAGTATATTGGCCACTTATGCTCTATAACCTACATAAATGAGATTTTTGTTTCAACATAATGCTATTTCGTTAAAATAAATCGCTAAATGGAGAAAAAAATCTTTTCAAGTAGGTTTTTATGTTCCTTCCAAATCATTAATAACATTAGCAATATTAATCTAACCAGAAACTGAAACCAATTTACAGAAGCAAAAAAGAGACAAAGAAGTAAATTAACTATTAAAACATTAAATCAAAATGGAAAAGCGCATAAAGCAGCTAAAACCAAATTTGCTTTATTTTAATTTGAATATTCAACTAAACATTAAAGCAGGAAAAAACAATAAAATAGAATATATGTGTGTTTGCAAGACAGCACTTCTTCAGGGGACACACTGCCTATAAACAGTTTGTAGGCAATGTGTCCCCTGAAGAAGTGCTGTCTTGCAAACACACATATATTCTATTTTATTGCTTTTTCCTGCTTTAATGTTTATTTGAATATTTACATTAGCAATATTATTTAGTCTGAGCTTCTTTCTTTGTTGTTAATATCACAATGTGTGTCAGGATTTAAAAACATGGAGATATAAAATATTTTCCTTACACTTGAATGACAGGAAATAACTATAAACTGCATAATGTTTGTAAACCTTCCATAAGGCACTAATTACGGTTAATAAATGAACAAATAAAAAAATATATTCTGAAGAGTTAAATTTCTGTCTTCCATTAAACAGTCCAAAAGGTTACTTGGATTAAAAATTGCTTATAAAGGTATACAAACAGTGATAAAATTGCTACAAATGTCACAGGAGGTAAACAAAAATGTTTTTTTCTCAGATACATACAAAAAATAGAATACTTCTTCTGAACTATCAAAATTATTACCAAAGGTGTGATTATTTTTTGAACTCGATGAAAATAAAGAAAGTCATAGAATGGAATTTATATTAATTTTATTATCTAATATCAATGAATCAATTTTGATATAATAAACTATCACAACCTTATTACTGAATTGCTGAAAATAATGTTAAAAAACTTTTCTCCAAAATTATAAAATCAAATTAAATATTTTTTTTAATAATAAACCTTAATTATAAATCAATGATAAGTTGTACTTTCAGTTTAGGAATATCCCATTTTATAAACGAAAAATCTTTTCTTGAAAATTTTTTTTCTGTTATTTGTTGAAAAACTAGTAGGTCATTTAATAAAAATATCTCTCAATTATTTAATGGAAATTGAATGAAAATGTATTTATTTTATAATGATAAATAAATGTATCTTTTAGGGAAAATGTCTTTGCTATTTAATGAAAAACTAATAAAACATTTTATAAAAAAGTCTCGCAACTATTTAATGGAAATTTAATGAAAATGTTTTTATTATTTTATGAAAATTAATGACACTTTTAATCAAATTATCTCAGTTATTTAAAGAAAGTTGAATGAGTCATTTAATAAAAAAGTCTATTTTCATCTTATCTCATCACATCATAAATGAATCATTTAAGATAATCATATAATTGGAGAGTAATACAAAATATTTTTTTATTAAAGCTATAAAATAAAATTATAATGTTATAATAATAAATTTGTGTTAGAAATTAACACATTTAAATGAATTGTTTTCACTTTTAGTTTATAAATATCTCTTTTATGGACGAAAAATGTCTTTCAGTTATTTAGTGGAAACATTAATGAGCCATTTAATGAAAATGTCTTTCTACTATTTAATGAAAATTTCATGAGTCATTCATTGAAAATGTCTTAATTATTTAATGAAAACTAATAAGATTCTTAATGAGAAATTTTTCTTATTATTTAAAGAAAATTTCACGAGTTATTTAATGTTTCAGTTTAGGAATATCCATTTCATTAAAAATAATTACTTTATAAAAAAGTCAATCTTTATAAGAATTTTATTTACTGACAAATATCTGACATTATTAGATCATTCTAAGACAATATTATAATCGAAATTTCGACAAAAATTCTTTCTTAAGAAAGATTGAATCAAATTTTTACAGGAAATCAATTGATTTAAATAGCTTACTTTTAATTTAGGAATATCCCATTAAAGAAGAATGATTCTATCTATTAGTACACATTACTATGAATGTAATTCTTGACTGCAGAAAATGTTTCTAAAAAACAACCATAGGAATAAATGTTTGATGCCTTCCATGGAGATCCCATTACCATGGAAACGAAGTCGGTGGAGCTTCTATTGGAAACGACCAATGAGAGTGAAGAACTCGTAGATTGTATTAACAAACGGTTCACCAATAAGAAGCTCATCCTACTCTTCTTATCAAGATGGCGTAAGATGGAACAGGAAGCAATTGACATAGGCAATTTTTCCTCTTTTTTGTTATTTTCTGCTGTTGGGATTCAGAAATCAATCAACGCTTAAAAGCGAATTTTACACAGCGTTAATTATAAATATTCGAATAATTTTGTTTCGTTCTGAAGATTTGTAAGAAAGCTATACTTCATTTTCTTTTTTCTTTCTTTATTTTTTTTTAGCATGTTTGAAATGTTTTGATGAGGATATGAAAAAACTTTTTTTTTTTATACAAAACATAATGTTTCACTCCAGTTCTCTTTCAGCTTTCAAAAACTAAATTCTTTTTCTTCAACGTCTTAAAAAATCATTCTTACTGGATTAAAAATAGATAACAAAAATTATGGGTAAGAAATAGGAGATCACAGAGAATTGGATTTAACTGGAAATATTGCTCAGTGTGAGAAAAAAAAATTAAAAAAAATTAAGAAAAAAGTAGATAAATATATAAATGAAAATAAACGACGCATCCAGAATAACTTTTGATCGAATCATCGGATTTTCACTCACTGGACTCAATGAATCAAGAGGGTGACCACAAATAAACCAATTCTGAAGACGATATAAGTTACGAAATCAGACACAAAAACGTACTTTCTCTGCATAAACGTTCCTTTTAATGATGGATTTGGATTTCTTTTGCTCAAAATAAAGGGGGTAATTTCGGATTATGATCCATATAGTTTGGTCAGAAGAGCAGTCCAAAACTTGCACCCCTTACTGTAAATTTAACTTTTCGCTATAATTCGAGAACTTTTTATGCGAATTGAAAAAAATTTTGCACATAAATATCAAATTCGTTTATCCAAAGATTAAAGATCAAATAATAATTTTAATACTTCTTATTTTTTATGATTTTATTTAATAATGGTCGAAAACATTTTGAATTATTAGATATAAAATTGTTTACATAATTTAAAAAAACGTAATTTTAAATGGAAGAGTACAAAATTTAAACGAAATCACTCTTATAGTTCCTGAAGATTCTAATTTTAAAAGGTCGTATATTTAAAAATGCCATTTCTCAAGTACTATTGAACCAATTTCGCTCAAATTTTGTATTTTACCATCCAGAATAACGTTCTTTAAAATTATGGAAAAACTGTGTACCTTGCAGTTCAAAAATTTTCCAACCATTATTAAATAATAAAAAATAAGAAATATGAAATGATTGTTCAAATTATTTTTTACGTGGAAACATCTTTAGATAAACAAATTTTATAATTTTGTGCAAAATATTTTTCAATTCGCTTAAAAAGTTTACGAAATACTGAAAAATACATAAAAAGTAAAATTAACATTACGGGGTATAAACTTCAGACTGCTCTTCTAATCAATCTATAAAGACCATATTTCCGAGAACCGCTATAAATAGAAGATTCAAATCCATCGGGAAAAAAATATGTTTATTTAGTAAAAGTGCATTTTTACGTCTGATTTCGTAACTTAAATTATTGTCTGCACTGACTAATTAGCATATTTGAGCTTACCCCCTCGAACCTTTAAGATTGACTCCTAGCACGTAATAGTCCGATCAGTAGATCAAAAATTATTCAGGATGTTTCGTTTATTTATTTATTTATTTGCGCCCTGTAAAAAAACAGAGGCAATTTCTTCAAATTTCAGAAACTAAATTCCTATTCTTTTACGTTTCAAAATATCATTCTTACAGGATTAAAAATTGAGAGGATAATTTATGGGCAAGAAGTAGGAGACCACAGAGACTTAGATTTAACTGAAAATATTGTGCACTATTATTACATAAGTAGTTATGTAATTTCCTCAGAAATAAATAAATTCCTATTCTACCTCCTTTTGAAACATCATTCTTAATTAATTAAAAAAAAAGATAATTTATGGGCAAGAAGTAAGAGACCACGGAGATTAAGATTTAACTGGAAATATTGTGCAACTAAAAATGTAATTCCTTTAAAAAAGCAATTCATATTCCTATTCTTTCATCAATGTAAAACATCAATCATAATGAATTAAAAAAAGAGGGTTGATATTTATTTTTATTATTAGAAATATTTTGTGAATGCAATTGCAGATTTCTTTTAAAAACTAAATAAAATCCTATTTGTTAATAAATTAAAAGTAATTCGTAAGCAAGGGTAAGCAGTAAGATTGCTATTCTTCATTAAAATAATCATCTTCAATCGCTTTAGAATGTCAATCTTAGCAAGTTAAAAATTGAGTTACATTGGATTGATTTCCATCTCAAAAAATAAATAAAATAATGAAATATTTGTAAAATAATGAACTAAAGATTGAGAAATTTATTTTCAACTACGTTTCTTTAAAAAAACATTAATTAAAGCGTATCCTTAAAACGTAATTTACAATCAAATTTCAACCAATTTTAGTTTGTGTCGTTCGTCTTAAACAGATCTTGAGTTGCAACAATTTTTTTGTTTTCAAGTAGCATAGTAGTAGTTTATTTAGCATGTCAACTACTTTCCAAATTAGGACAGCTTAAGATTAAGTTCGTATAAATGAAAAAGGAATATAACGGGTAAAAATATTTATTTTTTATTATGATTTTTTCGCAAGTCTACATTTTTGATTCTTTTAAAAGCAAATACTTTGCGATCGCTTAAATGCAGTAGCTGAGGTTTTGTTATTATTATGGGAATAAGTGTTTAGATATAGCATTTGATTTCTTTATGTTCTTTTTAAAAGAATTCAAATAGATTCGTTATCAGATATCGTTTCACTAAATTATTAAATTAGTCTTTTAAAACTTTAAAAGGCAACAGTGGTTTTTACTAATTTGCCATGGGTGCACTAAATCTATAGTAGTAGCCGTAATTTTAAGTTGTAGAAATTTAGATTTTTAGAACTCACTTTATCATTTAGAACACGAAGACATTGCCTGAAAAGTCTGTAATATATCCAGCCACCCTGACACCAAGACTTTGCCTGTAATGAGTATGCTTAACGTTTAAATACGAGGTGCATCCAGAAAGTAAGTTTCCCTATTTTTTTTAAGAAAAGAACTCACACTTTCAGGAACATATTTATTGGCAACAAGTACAGCAATGTTTCAGCTATTTTTCAACATATCCACCACCTGAATTGAGACACTTGTCGTATCGTGTGATCAACTTTTGTAACCCCCTGTCGTAGAACTCTGTCGCCTGTGAATGGAACCGGTGTGTGACAGACGGCTTCAGCTCTTCGTCGTTGCCAAAACGCACACCGGAGGACAGGAATTTCTTGAGGTGTAAGAAAACGTGAAAATCGCTGGGAGCAAGATCATTGTTATGGAGGAACACAACGCATGCAGTAAGCATTCCACGCCTCTTGTTTTGAATTGCACGTCGCAATTTCCGCAGTGTTTCGCAGTAACGGTCAGCGTTTATTGTTTCACCACGTGGATGGAAGTCAATGAGCAGAATGCCCTTCCTGTCCCAGAACACCGTGCACATCACTTTCTGTGCCGACAGCGTCCTAAGCGTTGAATTTTGTGTTCCGGAGTAAGGTTTTTCGGCAGGCGCTGGTTCCATTCACAGGCGGCAGAGTTCTACGACAGACGGATACAAAAGTTGATCCCACGATACTACAAGTGTCTCAATACCGGTGGTGGCTATGTTGAAAAATAGCTGAAACATTGCTGTACTTGTTGCCAATAAATATGTTCCTGAAAGTGTGAGTTCTTTTTTTTTAAAGAAAATAGAGAAACTTACTTTCTGGATGCACCTGGTAAGTAAGGAAAAGTAAGCTTGAAATTACTAGTTAAGTAGTACATTTAGGTTGAACATTGAAAAATCACATTTTTTGCTGTGTCCCTTTTTTAACACATATTTTGAGGTTTTGAGCTGCGTTCATTTTCTTAAACATGTATCTCGAGATATGTCCATTTTGTTAAAAAAAACATTTTGAGTTGTGTCAACTTTCTTAAACATCCATTTTGAGCTGCGTCCAAGATCACGAACTCATCGACAATTGTTAATTGATTTTCACTTAAAGGTCATAAAATTATTTTTCCAATAAACATATTTTGCTTAAGCGAATACTATATAGCATTCATAACATCAATAATACATAACAATATTTACATAACAATATTACACTATTTCTTTATTTATTCACTTATATATTTATTTATTTTATTTATTTCCCGTATTTTATTTTATTTATATATTTATTATTTTTCTTTGAAAAATTTTCTTTGGTAAAAAGTTGAAATACCAGAAATAATTTTTTTTTCGTAGTTAATAATATAATCCACAAAAGTACTTATTTCGGTAGAAAAAACATAATCGAAAGTCATCAAGAAAGTTTTATTCAGCTTATTTGGTTTCAGTTGTAAAAAAGAAAAATAAACTAATATCAGAAACATTCCATATTAGCATAATATGTTTGTTTGAGGGAGCAACCTAGTCAAAAGAATAAAGTGATTTGAATTTATTGTAACATGCATGCATCAAAATGACTTCACTTGACAACTAAGGAATATTTTATTAACTCAAAGGGAAAAAAAAACTAAAATTTTGGTAAAATTTTTTTTAATTAAAATAGTATGAGCGAATTTTGACATGTTAATATTTAATCTTAATAGGACAACTTCGAAAATTTACAATTGCTAATGGTAGATATGCCAGTGACTTTTACAGTAAAATAAATGGGATTTTTTTTACATTACAAGCTGAAAATAAAGCTAATAAATTAGCATATTTGAGGTCCACCTTCTGACCTATCAAAACAGGTACTAATGGTTTGAAAATATCGTCATTAGAACAAAAGTTATTCAAGTTAATACTTTCTAGAGGGACTCACTGCTTAAAACTTATAATAATCAGAAGATTCTTCACTGACAGGC